CTGGATGAGCACACTTCTGGTAACATGGCGGTGTGGCCTAATATGCTAATGAGCCATGCTGTCAGGGTGTGGCCTAATATGCTAATAGGTTTTGCTGTTGGGTGTGGCCTATTATGCTAATGAGTTCCTGCTGGGCTTTTTCTACAAAAAGAGCCCTGGAAAGAATTTAAATGGTGTAGAGATTGACTGAAAATCTAAAAGGGTGATAAAAGAATAAAAATAATAATAAAAATTTAAATATTAAACCCTGTAACAATACTAGAAGCAAGGAACTGGCAGACTACTGGAAGAAGTGCAAAAGTAAGGGTTAAGAACCTTGCACAGTGATAATGATGACTGTAAACAGTGATAATGAATATTTTATACTGTTGATATGAATTTACAGTGTAAAAGAGAAAAAGAGTTAGAAGTAGCTACTCAACACAGAATTGACCTAAAGGATGAGTACAAGAACAAAATAATTTTTTTTTTTGGTCTGGCCTTATTGTTAATCTATGTTGCTGAAAAGAAGAATCGCTGTATTAGGTTTTTGCATGTAGTCCTGTTGGTGTTCTTGTTTATATGTACGATATAGACTTATACTATTAAAAACCCAATAAGTATATTGCAAAAAAGACAAAAACAAAATGGCAAATACAATCAAGACCTGCCAAAAGCACTCAGAACTCCACAACCATCTGAGCACCCCAGAAGTTCTCGTTCCGTGGCATTTATAAACAGCAGTGCTTCGGTGCTCTCTGAAAGCACGTCACGTTTTCACAGGAAGAAGAGGAGATTGGATTTATACCTCGCCCTTCACCCTGTCTCAGAGCGGCTTACAAACTCCTCTCCCTTCCCCTCCCCACAACAGACACCCTGGGAGGGAGGTGGGGCTGAGGGAGCTCTGACAGAAACTGCTCTTTTTCAAGGACAGCTCTTGTCAGAACTGTGGCTTGCCCAAGGTCATCCAGCCAGGTGCAAGTGGAGGAGTGGGGAATCAAACCCGGTTCTCCCAGATTAGAGTCCGCGCATTTAACCACAACACCAAACTGGCTCTCAACTCTATGGGATTATGTCCTATTGAGGTTCCTCCCCTCCCCAACGCAATGTCCCTGAAAGGTAGGCTATTTCAATTTATCTCCCCCCCCAACAGAATTGCAGATTTAGAGGTCAAAATGGCCACCCGGTGGCTTCACAGCTAAGGCCCTATTTGAACTGGGGACATTCCAGCTCAAACTCTTATCCATCGGGGACACGTTTCCTTTCCTTCACGCTCAGACTGGCGTACGGGGTGTGCCCGTCTCCGTTTTATCCTCGCAACTGTTCTGCGCAGGGCTTTTTTTGGTAGAAAAAGCCCAGCAGGAACTCATTAGCCTAACAGGCCACACCCAACAGCTGAAACTCATTAGCATATTAGGCCACACCCTGCCACCACAGCTCATTAGCATATTAGGCCGCAGCCCCGTGTTGCCAAAAGTGTGCTCATCCAGCCACACCCACCTTTTGCTTGTTATTCTGTTTACCTTGTTTGTTGTCAAAACCCAGGGCCTTTTTTTGTAGCAGGGACTCCTTTGCATGTTAGGCCACACACCCCTAATGTAGCCAATCCTAATGAGTTTCTGCTGTTGGGTGTGGCCTATTCTGCTAATGAGTTCCTGCTGGGCGTGGCCAACTCAGGAGCCAGCCGGAACTCCATTCCTGTGCGTTCCTGCCCAAAAATAGACCTGGTTCTGCGAAATGGATTACTGCTGAGTGTGTGGATAACTGGCCCAACCTCAACCGGGGCACGTTGTGGACCCAGGAGGGGGAGGATCTGAACCCGGACCCTAAGCAAACTCTTCAACCGCGACCCCACTCCTGCCTCAGCCTTCCCCCACTGGGCTCGCGCCCCACGTGCCAGCCGGAGGGGCAAGTGTGGGGCATCGGGAGTACTGGCTCTCCGGGCATGCTCACGTCAGTCTCCAGGAGGTTGTGCATGCTCGTCTCCGCGATCTCCTTAGACTCCTCGAACTTCTCCAGGGCTTGCCGCAGCTCCTCATCGGGGATCTTCCCCTGGCGCTTCTTCTTGTAGTCGAAATCTAAGCGCCGGCCCTCTAGCTTCTTCAGGTGGTGCTGGGGAGAAAGAGGGAAGGTCGGTGACCACCAGAATACAAGCGGGAGGACCAGAGGGGCCGCCATTGGCTGGGAGTCCAGCCTGACAGCGTTCCAGAGCTCAAGGATGATCCAGGCAGCGGGCTCATGCCCTCCTCGGTGGGCACTGAAGCGTAGGATCAAAACCATAATCTCCCCCCGCCTCTTTTGCCCTACGGGGTCCTGTGCCACGACTGCTGGGTATCTGGATTGGCATGGGATTCCTGTCCACTGCCAAGAGACCGGCATGGTGGTACCTCGCTAGTCTTGACGATGGAGACCGGAAGCAATGGGGAAAAGTTGCATCAAAACGCAAAGCTTTTAGGGAGTGTGCCGGTGGCTGGGTGGGGTGTAGGTTCAAAACCCAAAACCCAACAGTGTTAACTCCTCTCTTTTCTGTTTGGGACCTACTACCCATCAATTCAACAAAGCAAAAAGAAGATTCACGGCTCAAAAGTAATACAAACTGCAAAAAGAACAGTGGGAAAAAGACGATAGGGACTTACAATATAGATTCATATCCAAGCTGATTTTGGTGGTGTAGATGAGCAAATACAAAGTAGGTGACATTTCTGTCTTTACTGATATAACGTATAATGCTATATATATTTTTACTGCTTTGAATTCCAGCTAATGGATTTTTATTATTATGTCAGTTCATGGTATGAATTCACCTCTGAAGAAGACATCCGAAACAAAGTTTTATCCGGAATCTTCGTAAAAATATCGTTTCATATCATATTGTACGTTGTTTGGAAGAAGAGGAGGAGGAGGAGACTGGATTTATACCCCGCCCTTCACTACCCAAGGGAGTCTCAGAGCGGCTTACAAACTCCTTTCCCTTCCCCTCCCCACAACAGACACCCTGGGAGGTAGGTGGGGCTGAGAGAGCTCTGACAGAAACTGCTCTTTTTCAGGAACAGTTGTGCCAGAACTATGGCTTGCCCTAGGACATCCAGCAGGTGCAAGTGGAGGAGTGGGGAATCAAAACCGTTTTTGCCAGATTATAGTCCGCGCACTTAACCACGACACCAAACTGGCTCTGTGTATGTATGTGTGTGTGTGTGGAGCTGCTGTTTTGTTTTTTCCTGTGCAACATATTTGGGCAGGGGGGAGAGTGACAAGTGTCAAAGACCTCTTCTGGTCTCCCCCCCTTTTCCATCACCAGGTGTTGCAATCAGTACCTCAATCTGCAGAGGCGTTTGGGAGCATGCACAGATCTGCGCCACACTTGGGTGCGGAACAGACGGCTGGCTTAAGGAGCCCGGGAAACAGAACTGAGAAGAGGAGCCCTAGTCTGAAAGGCATCCAGGTCAGTGACTAGAAGCCCCCCGGCCCCCAAGCCAGCCCAAATTTAGCCCCGCCTCTCCACCAACTAGCCAACCAAGAGAATGCGGATACAGAACGTGCTGGCCATCTATTCCGAGACAGGGTAGCCCCCTCACAGCCCACCTATCTTTTGCCCCCTGCCCCAAGGACAGCCCTCTGGCAAACCTACCTGCCATAATACGGAGAACAAGAAAAACTGAAAAAGTGACGCTTAATATATGTCTTTCTCAATAGTTCATACCTGCTTTACAATCATCTTAGTCCATGGCAGGTTCTACGATGCATTACAGCTGTTATGATTATTGAAAACTTCACCAGAGGATATGAACTATTGAGAGACGGTTTTTGTCCCACATCTTTGTTCAGAAGAAGATCTTCCTTCGAAACGGCAAGACATTCCGGAGATCACCGTCAATATATTTTTCTATGATTATGTATATTATTTTTGTTCACTTTTCTATGATTCTTTAAAGACATATATTAAGCGTCACTTTTTCACCGTTTTTCTTGTTCATATTATCTCAGTACTGTGCCAATCAATTGTTATTAAACCTACCTGCCAGCCAGGGATGTGGTTGTTTAGAGAAAATGCCACCTTCAGAGGAAGGGCTTCCCACGTTACTCCCCACCAATGCTCCCCCAAAGCCGTGGAGTCCTGTGAGCAAAAACTACTTTGCGAGCTCCTGGCATTCAAGTTGTGAGCAGATGATTAGGCTGCTGCGTAAGGTAGTTTGCTCTGGAGCCCTCCTTCCTGAGCTGAGACAAAATTGTGTGAGCCGGAGGCTAAAAAACCTGTGAGGCTAGCTCACACTAACTCAGCTTAGAGGGAACACTGGTCCCCACCCCTCTGCCAGGCAGCAGAGTGGTAGGAGCAGGCAATGGGAAGGGGCCTGCTGCCACCACGTGACCACCCTGCTGCCCCTCGCCCACCCAAGCCGATGCCCTCCAAGCCTCTAAACCAGGAATCCTCAACCTCTCTGAGCATGCAGGCACCCTTTGGGGACAGCGTGGTGGGCAAAGCCCCAAGACGGCTGAGCCAGGAGGTGGCGCTGGCTACAAAGTGGTTGCCCCGGCTTCCCTTCAGTTGCACAGAGAAGGTGAAGGAGGAGGAGGAGAAGGAAAAGAAGGAGGAGAGGGAGGAGGAGGAGGAGGAGGAGGAGGAGATTGCATTCGAACGGTTAAGGCGCTTAGGGCTCTTTAGCTTGGAGAAATGACGACTGAGGGGTGACATGATTGAGGTTTATAAGATTATGCATGGGAAAGAGCAGGTAGAGAAAGAGGTACTTTTCTCCCTTTCTCACAATACAAGAACTCGTGGGCACTCCATGAAACTGCAGAGCGGTCGGGTTAGAACGGATAAAAGGAAGTACTTCTTCACCCAAAGAGTGATTAACACATGGAATTCACTGCCACAGGAAGAGAAGAAGGATTCAAGCATGGACGGCTTCAAAAGGGAATTAGATAGGCATATGGAGCAGAGGTCCATCAGTGGCTATTAGCCACAAGGTATAGATAGGGGCTCTGGGGCAAGAGATGCTCTGTCTTCTTGGTGCTTGGGGGGGTCAACAGTGGGAGGGCTTCTAATGTCCTGGCCCCACTGGTGGACCTCCTGATGGCACCTGGTATTTCTGGCCACTTTGGCCTGATCCAACATTGGCGTCTCTTACGTTCTTATGTAAGGAGATTGCATTTATACCCTGCCCTCCAGTACCTGAAGGAGACTCAGAGTGGCTTACAATTGCCTCCCCCCGCCCCCACTACAGACACCCTGTGAGGTAGGTGGGGCTGAGAGAGCTCTTTGGAGAACAGCTCTGAGAGAACTTGGGACTGACCCGAGGTCACACCGACAACTGCATGTGGAGGGAGTGGGGGATCAAACCCGGTTCTCCCAGATTAGAGTCCGCGTTCCTAACCACTGCACCAAACTGGCTCTGAAGATCCTTGTGCTGTGGTGGCGGCGGCTGCTGTACGATGCTTTAAAAAGCAAACAACTGCACCGCCAATCAAATCTCCAGTAACCAATCAGAAGCCTTGCTAGGGGGAAAAAAGCCCCACCTGGCCACACCCACTTTCTAGTAAACACTCGGCAGGCACCAAAAAAGGTGGAGGTGGGCACCCTGTTAGGGACCCCTGCTCTAAGCTGAGATTACCTGGATCTCTTTCAAGTCCTTATCGCATAAGTTCTGAAGGGGGTCGATGAAGTTTTGTTTGACTTCGATGTCCAGGGAGTCCTTCACTTCAGCCAGGCGCTTCATGGACTCTCCAGCATCAAGCAGCGCATCACCTTTAGGTGTGTGGGGAGGGGGGGGAGGAAGAAGTGGAAGGAAGGAGACAAGTGTGGGTTAAACTCAAAGCCCATTTTCGTAAGAAAATGACATCAGGAAAGCTTGGCCGGCACAGACTGAAGGGCGGTTTCCAACAATGGTCCAACATATGCAGCCAGGAAGAAGCACAGCATGAACAGCCTTCCCTTGCTTGTCCTTCAGGAACTGGCATTCAGAGGTAGACTGCCTCTGAACAGAGAGGCTCCACTAGGCCGCTGCAGCTAAGAGCTGCGGCGTGGCTAACATCCTCCACGAGAACCAAGCTTCTACCGGCAAGCGTCTACTGGAGGGGGCAGTTTCTCTGTTACCCTCGACCAGGACAGAATGTGGTGGTTTTTATGCAGCACATACCAAACGCTCTGAGAAGACAATAGGAGAACCAAACTCAACAGTTCCTCGAGAGGCGCACTCACCAAAATTCGACTCGTCCCCCAGCTCCTTGCCGTAACGGATCATGGACTCGCCGAGGAGGCCTTCCGACTGTGGGTAGCCCGGATTCTTCACTTGCCCCCGGATCTTGGACACCGTGTTCAGCATCGTCAGCTTGGCCCGGGACGCTGGCGGGGAAAAGAAACAGGCCCCACGTCCGAGTTTCCGCCTCGCATCCTTGCCGACGGCCGAACAAGTGCCGGCTCTTGTATTTAAAAGACAGCCCTGCTTGTCCAGAGAACCCCATTGTCTTGGCCTCCCAGATATATCCCGTCAGCTGTATTTAAAAGAGCCCCCCCCCCCCCCCCCAAGATAGGAGGCAGAAAATAGTTCGGTGTGAAGGTTGCCAAAAAGAAAAAGAAAAAAAAGAAATTTACGAGTTTCCCAACTTTCTGGCTGGCTGCCATTCGATCCTTTTCAGAAACAGTGACGACCAGCGAGTGGAAAGCGGACTGCTTCCAACAAGCGATGGAAAGATACCAGAATCGCCTCACCGGGCCAGCCCGGGCCAAAGGCCCATCTAGCCTAGCGCTCTGCCTCCGACAGCAGACAGCGAGATGCGGCGCACGGGTGACACTTGGAGATTTCCCACTATTACAACTGATCTCCAGGCGACATGTCCTGTTGAGGTCCCTCCCCTCGCAAACTCTGCCTTCCCTAGGCTCCACCCCCAAAATCTCCAGATATTTCCTCACCCAGAGTTGGCAGCCCTGGGTCTAAGTGGGCTCAGGGGGTTTCAAGGTGCGTTTGGGGGGACATCGTCAGGCACTCATCAGGGGTTCCAGAACGGGAAGGTCAGTTACGAGGGAGGTGATGATACATGCAATGGCTAGCCCCAGATACAGTGTCAGACGCCTGCAGCGATCGGTTCTCGACAACTTTCATGCAAAGAAGTAAAGTTTATCGAGACACTGGCGTATGCAGATTTGTCTTTATACGTCTTGTGTCAGAACTGGCAACGAGCGCGCGAAGCAAGCGGATAGACATAATCCCAGAGGGTCTCCTGATGGCTCGGAGCCAATCGTGGAATAAGTGAAAGCCCGCCAAAGCTAACAGGTCTATTTTTCCAAGAGAAAGCTGGTGCTAGAAGGTCAAACGCTCATGTTGCACAGATAAAGAAACACTGAAGGCACAGAGAAAAAGAAACTTAAAATTCCAGAGACATATCGCTGCTATGGAGAGGACGCTCTACTGACTCTGACAGTACAAGGTTGCTTTTCTTTGCACACCTGTGTTAATACTGGGGTGGGGGACGGGGCTTTTTCTGCATGGCCCCCAGACCGTGCCCTCACTTTTTGGCCTAACAGGAACTCACTATTTGACTCTGGATCACAGGCAGCGTTGTGGAGTCCCTAACATTAGTTGGGACGGCTGATCTGTCACATTGTCGTCCCGCCCTTCTTCCAAACGGCTCAGGGTGACGTGATCGTTCTCCTTTCCTCAGTTTATCCTCACAACAATCTTGTGAGGTAGGTCAGGCTGAGAGAAAGTGAGTGGCCCAACGCAATGAGTTTCGTGAGCGAACAGGGATTCGAACCCGGGTGCTGAAATCCCTTGCCCAGCCCTCTAACTGCTACCGGCTCTGTGTAGATTCTACTGCGGACTGCTGATTTTATGTCACTTCGTTAAAAGTTTTAAGTCTGTTGTTATGACTGCTTTTCTCCTCCTGTGGGCTGCTGTTTGCGATCCTGTTTTAGAAAGTTCCTTATAATGGGGTAGAAGCTCCCATGTGGTGAACTTTCTTGCGCTCCAGCTGCAGGGCAAATAATCGGCACAAAAGCCTTCCAGATGTACAACCAATTGAAGAAATGTTTTTGACCAAGTTCCTGGTTCGGGGGTGGGGGGAACCAGGAGGCCCAACAGAGCTGAACTGGTGGGTTGCCTTTCAAATACAACCTGGAATTCTCTTTTGCTGGACTGTGCTCGGAAGGCTGACACCAATAGATTCCCGGGCAGAAAAAACACCCAGGACAGGGCCTTAATGAAGCTAGACTGTTTGGAGAAAACAAAACCGGTTTAAGCGGACAGAATATCTGATGTGGGCCATGAAGATCTGGGTGCAGATCGCTGCTCAGCCACAATTTGCTCAGCAAATGCCTTAAAATGCTGCATATAGTTAACAGCAAAGATACAGCCAGACAGCTGACACAGATAAAAGTTTTTGTAAATAAGACAAAATGAATTTTTAAATTTCCTAAGAAGTAACAGTCTTCTGTCTAATTAGGACAGCCATAGCACAAAACCTTGCTACCGTAGCAGTAATTTCATTACTGCAGCCTGTACTCTTTAAAGAGCTCCTTCCCGGGCCTTCTGGAGCCAAAAGGACTCCTCGTGTTTCATCTCCGAGCGGCAAGATCATACACGAGGAGCGCAGTTGGCCATTAGGAGGTCAAGGGGGCATTCCGGGGCCTGGGGGAGGCGGGGGAACTTTTTGCGGCCATTTTCCCGCAGGGCACGAGGCGCCGCGGGCCGTGAGACTTTAAAGGGTGCCTTCCCTAAGCCTTCTTCGGCGATTGGCTAGAGGGGTTGGAAGGGATGCCGCCAAAGGAACGCCCCTCCAATGTCCCCCAGGGGGGACAAAGAGGAACCTGACAGCCCGGCGACGGGAGACGCAGTTCTTCGCCGAGCCACCCCCACCCACCCCCCGTTTGCCCTTTGGCTTCCCAGTGTGGTCGTAGCTGCTCCTTCTGGGTTAGCCAGGCAGGGCCCTTCGGGGAGACACCCTCGGCCGCGACTGGTCAGTGGAGCGTGCTTCAAGTCCTTTCCCTGCTCACCCGAGAATCCCCCCCCATACTTCCGTCTCTTTAAGGGTGCGGATTTGTGTTCGGACGCGGGTCACGCCCTCCCTCGCCCCGTTCTCTTCTCCTCCGGCTTTCCTCCCTCCCTCCCATTCGCTCTTCTAGGCTTGGGGCAAGACGGTCCCGGCATCGGAAGGGATTTATTTTTGAAAACTGGGGGGCGCAC